CATACCCCCCAAACCTGCCCTGGAGAACTCACTAAAGCCGGAGATACGCCCATCGGGACGGGTGGGAGGTGGAGGGATTTGACTCCTGACTCGGTACCATTCCAGGGGAATGGGGGATGCTGGAGAAGCAGAGATGCACACCCAGCCTGGAGAGCTACACTGGGTGCCAGCCAAGAGCGTGAGGGCTCCGTGAGAAGGCAGTGCCACTGACCGTGTGCCCCTTCTGCTCTCCATTCTGCACCTGAGGGACCCTCCACGCACTTCCCTCGCAGTCTGCTGCCTGCAGGAGCAGCTTCCAGCCAGATGCTGGGAACCAGAAACAGAGTTTGGGGGCCAGGCAGGCACAGAGCCCCGGGTGAGCCCCATGCCCTGCTGCTCCACCTGCCAGCCCAGCCCTGGCACCACGCTGGCGCTGGGGCTCGATCAGCTCCCCCACCTGCAGCGGCTGCTTTTCAGCTGCAGGAGAACAACACAGCAGGTTTGCTTTGGCTTTGTTTTTGACAAGGAACTGCTGAAAATAGCAGAATTCCAGACTTCCTCAAACACTGCTCCAGCACTGAACGCCAGCCGCGGCACCCAGCTAGGCTGCTATTTCCAGCTGGAACAGGGGGGCTGAGGGGCTGCAGGTTCCCTCCCCCTGCAAGGGAAAGGTGGAGAGAAAGTGTGTGACATCTCACCTGCCTGAACTGCCTTTCCCTTAGGTAGATATTGTAGCCGGTGCTTTATACACATTGTAACAAGAAGGTGCCAGACTGTAGGATATTTATGAGAGGTTTTTCACCTAAGAACTTGACAACAAGTCTTCCAAAGCTTGCTACAAGGAAGCCTCAGGGTGGCACGGTGCCAGAACAAGGCTTTACTATCTTTTGGAGCAAATATCTGCTCAGGCAGGACTTCACTCGCCCCCTGCAGTGCCCACGGACCAGGGCTGGGCAGCACAGGGCTGCAGAGGAGCCTGGGCACTGCTCTGCTCACCTGGCAGAGCTGCCTGGAGTCCTGCTGGGACTCAGAATCACGGACAAGCCACAAGAACATTCAAACAACAACACTCAGAAATTCTTTACCACGCAATAAGGAACAGTCTCCTTTGGCCAAGGGGAAGAAGAAAACGGAACAGTGCACAGCTCTGTGCTCTCAGCCTTGGAGAACTTCTCTTCCATGTGAGCATCACAACAATGCCTAATACTTCCACACTCTCATCTCAAAAGTTAATTTTCTCACCCAAGTATCAGCACTGCACTTTCATGCACAGCCATGCACTAAAGCCCTGGTACTGGAGAGCCTGCAGCAGGAGAGAAGGTCTCCTGAAGGAAAGCCCCTCATCCCTCACCTCGCTCTCCACAGGAGGTCACAGCACCCTGGTTTTATCAGACACACTGCGGGCAGCAGATCAGCACAAACACAGCTCCAGGATGGAGACAGAATTGCGGAATGGTTTGGGTGGAAAGGAACCTTAAAGCTGATCCAGTCCCACCCCTGACACCTTCCACCGGCCCAGGTGGCTCCAAGCCCCATCCAGCCTGGGACACTCCCAGGGCCGGAGCAGCCACAGCTGCTCGGGGCAGCCCGTTAAATCCGTGTGTCAGTGCTTGGCGGAGACAGATTGACCAGACCCTCCGAGCTTAGAACGCTTCGGGGCAGTTTCGGGGTCGGTGCCAGGGCTTCGGGGGCTCTGCCACCCGCGGCGACCCTGGCGGGACAC